TAGCTATGGAATTTCAAGGTTCACTTATATACAGTGGCAAATTTAGCTTTAAATTAAATTTAGTTTCTTTTGGTCAAGCTCAGGATTCAGCTGACATCTGCCTGACATTTTAGCAAGCATGAAAGGGGAAAGGACAATCCCTAGTCTTGAAGTGCAACAGAATACAACATACACCTGAAAATGGCAGAAGTTCAGAACTGAACCAACCTTTGAAAACATAAGTTGTTCCATCCTTGGTGGTCAAAAAAGTGTCAACATTTTTAGCCTCGCACAATTTGGGCCCATTACTGGCAGCACCTTCAGCATCAGTACTTCCTGGTTTGACAGTTGCATTTGGCTTGGGTGTTGTGGTGGTTGTTGCAGATGAAGACACTGCATTGTCTTGGTCAGATGATTTCTTCCCATACAATGACTGAAACAAGGTGATACTTGAAAGTGCATCTTATATTTTAATCAAGTCTTACTTAGTCTGACTAATTCTGTTGAATAAGGATTTATAGTTCAAATGAAAAACTTTTATGCTTGTACCTTTTCAACTTGAGGGCTTCAGACACAATTTGAAGACTTCAAACTTAGTCTGATGATGAATTATTAGTTCAAGGAAATGGTCTCATGCCTAAGTTGAAGGCTTTAATACTTACTTTGAAGGGTTGATACTAAGTTTGAAGATTTGATACTAAGTTTGAAGATTTGATACTAAGTTTGAAGATTTGATACTTGGTTTGGAGGCTTGATGCTTACTTAGTTTGAGGGTTTGATACTTACTTTGCAGACTTGAGACTTGGTTTGATGACTTAAAAGTTGAAACTTAGTCTGAAGACTTGACACCAAATTGAAAGAAGGCTTTTCAACAAATTTTTATCCGATTTGAAGATGCTACATAAAGACCTTGTTTAAAGACAAATATCCAGTGAATGCATAAACATGACAGTGTAGACTTAGAGTAAACATTGATTTAGGATTTTTTTGATCTACCAAAGATGGCTTACCTGGATTGCCAGTATGTCATCAGAATGCAGTTTGAAATTTGGGTCATAGCCTCTGTAGAATGGTGCCATTAAAGCTTGACGGATGTCTGAGTGACCAATTCCTAGTGAGTGTCCAAATTCATGAGCTGCCACTTGAAACAAATCAGTTCCTGTGAAAAATAAAAAACATTGTCTCTAAGGACTTGATAGAACTATAGAATATTTCACAAAGGGGGTTTTCCATTTAAAAAATTGCAAAATTCCCTTAGCAATGCATCCATGATAATTTGGCATACCTGAAGATTTGCTAACAGTCCACTTCTCACTGTCATCAAAATGTGCATCACCTCCATAAATGGGAAAGTATGCATGAGCCAAGGTTCCACCAGGACCATCAAAAGGGTCACCATCTCCATGTTCCCCTGCTTCGAATCTGTTATCAACATAAAGATGAACATTCAGACATAATAAAATCCTCAAGAAAAACTTCATTTTCAAAAAATTACCAGATTTTTATAATCAATAATTTGACCAGGGATTCTCACATAATAAATGGGAAAACTTCATGAGAAACTTTATTTTGTCTAGTTTCAAATTTTATTTTTCAGAAAGAAAACCATAAAATTAGAAATGCACACATTTTGGAAACTCTGGACTCAAAATCTAGAAAAATCCTATTTCATACCAGACATATTCATAAACATATTTTTTGAATGATTTTTCACATACTATATTTGGTCTTCCAAACATGAATGACTTTTTAAAAATAAAAAATGAAACTGTATAAATTGGGTGCAGTATAATTTATAAAAAATGTATACCTTTTAATTTATAAAAAATGTATACCTTTTAATTTATAAAAAATGTACACCTTTCAATTTATAAAAAATGTATACCTTTTAATTTATAAAAAATGTATACCTTTTAATTTATAAAAAATGTATACCTTTTAATTTTTAAAAAATGCATACCTTTTAATTTATAAAAAATGTATACCTTTTAATTTATGAAAATGGTAATTTTTAGCATGAAAACACTGCACAGGAATCAGTCAAAAATGTAAACCTGAATAAATAAATAAATTTTAATACATATAATAATCTTACAATTATGTTTTAAAATCCCAGTCAGAGATGAAAGTTTCTGAACAGTACTGTATCAGATTTCAAGTACATATACGAAAAAATTCGAAAACCCCACTATTTGAGTTGATGAATATGCTTCACACCTGGTTTTTTTCCCCTCGAATTTCTTTTCTTACCTAATTTCAATGTGAATTTTCCCCGAGGTCACAGCTGTAAACGTCAAGTCGGTCACGTCTGACCACACTTTAAAGGCTCTCGCAATTTCCGTGTCTACTTGCGACTTGGGTAAATTCTTTGGGTACTTGGTTATCTGGTAAGTCAGCGCTTTCACTCTCCATCTGCTTCCTGTAAAAAAAAAAATGAAAGCAAATAAATACCTTAATATCAATAATAAATTGATCAACGCGCCATATTTTGATCATCAATCTCGCTCTACTCCGATATGCTGAATGGAAGAAGAAGAAGAAGAAAAAATGAATCGCAGAAGGGGATTTTTTTATTTTATTTTCTAGCATCGGAAGTAACAAACGTAAGTTCATGTATCGGAACACGACATGACAGGAAACGAAATAAATATCGAATGAATCATGCTACTCATGAACCGTTGCGTTACACTTCCGGGAATCGTAATTATTTATTCATCGATGATGACGACGGTCGCGTGAAATCACTGCCAATGACGCTCATCGATCATTATTATTATTATTTGTTTCTTTTTTTTCAAAAGAAATAAGCAACGTGATTGCACGAGTCATCATTCTTTTCTGCAATTGCTTTTTCTGCATTTGAAAGATATATTTTTATTTTTGGAACTTGCGAAGGCTTATTGCGGAGTGAGAAAAATAATTTAAAAAGGGAAAATGGAGAGCTTCTCTTAAAATTGTATTATTTATTCGGTCGTGGGAAAATTGTTGGGATTTTATTAATATTTTAAAGAGAGTAGAATAAATTATCGGTTCGACTTAAACTTCCAAAAAAGGTCACGTGAATAAGAGTAATATTGGTTATTGACTTTTTTTTCTTTTTGCCTATGTTCATTTTTCGAGAGTTGAAATTTATTTGGAATTGGAGATTGCATCGGATGAATTTTGTATTCCGAAAATATTCCACGTTCTGCAAATTCAATGCACAAATCTCGTCTTGAAATTATTCTATGTTGAATTCATCATATTTCCGGCACTTACATTTTCGATTTGGAACTTGGAAAATTTTTTTTGTGGTTAGAAGATGACCCAGTTGTTTTTTATTAAGATAATATTTCATGAACAGTCTAGAGAAAAATCACCATTTGAATTAAAAATGATAATTTTGTTCTCAATACAGAACATTTCGCTCATGAAACTGAACTTATTAATTGCTTCATTTGTGAGTTTTTTTCAGCGACTTTTCCACAATTTTCAGTAATAAAATTGGAAAACGCAAGCAATCATGAAATTCACAAAAGGTGCACGCATGTAATTAATTCGGTGATTTATGTATCCGTCAGTTTTCTTTAATTATCTGTCGAATGCAAATCAACCTTTTCAACGAGAGTGCCTTTTATCCTTCCGCGCTTTGCTGCTAATAAATTGATTATTAGCAGTCGAATTCTAAGGGTTTACTCTTTTTTGTGAATGTGTAAAACACAGGAACTTCATTAGTATTTTTAATTTTTGACCGGAAATAAACTTGAAAATGCGGACTGATTAATTTGTTCGAATTCAACCGAAATTAAATTAATTTTTAATTGTCAGGAATTCCTGACATCGCCTCGCCTTAATTCCGATGATTTTTTGAGTGCATACTTTTTTAAAATATCAATATTAACTACATTTAGGAATATTCGAGAAATTCAACGCATAGATGAAGTTATTTGTGAAAAGAAGTTGACAAGATTTCTTGGATTTTAAGATACAATTGAAAAAATTGATTAAATTGAATTGAAAACTCTATTTTTACTGATATGGGATATGGACAAATTGAAACAGACAAGTTGAGACTGGAAAAATCGAGACAGGGACAATTTGAGGCAGAAACTTTTGGAGACAGGGACAATTTGAGACAGGAAAAACTTGAGACAGGGACAATTTGAGGCAGGGACAATTTGAGACAGTCCCAGAGTAACTCTGCACTCTCAAGTTTGTTTCTGTTACACTTCAATTTTCTGGTTTTCCATTCTTTTTTGTGAATATTGAATAATTTTATGCAGTATTTTATATTGTGAAATGTTGTGTTCTTTCAACAATGTAAATATTTGAAATATGGCTTGCTAGAAATATTCCATGATAATACTTGCATCCTACAGATTTTTTTTTCTGTACAAGGTGTTTTGTATATAAATTTGTGTAACTTTTTTTGACCAAAAGAGAATATTTTGGGCACCTTTGCCAATGTTTAGAACAAATATAAAGGATGTTCTGATGCTTTTTCATGTGTATTACAGTGTATTACAATGGATCAAGAGAGGAATTAAAGCAAGGAAATGTTTCTGTCTCAAATAGTCCTTGTCTAAAAATGCCTCTAAATTCTCTTCATCTCCAAATGCACCAATCTCAAATTGTCCATTGTCTCCAAAAGTTTCTGTCTCAATTTGTCCTAGATCCATCCTAACATGAAATATAAATTCGAAAATCTCGTGATAGTCCTTGTCTAAAAATGTTTTTAAATTCTCTTCATCTCCAAATGTAACAATCTCAAATTGTCCATTGTCTCCAAAAAGTTTCTGTCTCAATTTGTCCTAGATCCATCCTAACATGAAATATAAATTCGAAAATCTCGTGATAGTCCTTGTCTAAAAATGTCTCTAAATTCTCTTTATCTCCAAATGTACCAATCTCAAATTGTCCATTGTCTCCAAAAAGTTTCTGTCTCAATTTGTCCTAGATCCATCCTGATATGAAATGTATAAATTCGAAAATCTCGTGATTACTTCCACACATGATGGCTAAAATAAAGCAAAAAAAAAATTTTTCTTTAGAAAACCCTGGTTGACCCGTGATATTACTTCCAACCACAAAAAAAAAAAAATGACTGATGCTGAAAAACGGGGCACCGCAATAAGCCCAAGTTCAGCGCCGGATTTTGCCTAATTTTCCCCCCTCGTCCATTGTGCAGCTTCCTGTCAATATGTCCATATATATATAGAGTACCTTTTTTATTTTTTTTAAGAATTCCACCAAGATGATTTTAAAAGAAAAAAAAAGGAAAAGAGGGAAAGGAAGGCAGCAGCAGCAGCAGGGATTTGAGCAAGACCGGGGAATTGCGCCAGAAGGGAGGACCGACCTTGGAGAGTGTATCGCTTCCTTCTGCGTGCCTTGTTGCCGTAGCCGACGTTGTCCGTGACTCCGCATCTGGGCAGCTGCATCAGCTCCACAGTCGTTTCGTCTAGTTTCCCTGGAGAATTTTTGAAGGAAGAAAAAAAATTTAAATAAAATAAAATAAAAGCAGTCAAATCGCGATAAAACAAAATATACCATTACAGTGGGCCCCCGACTTACGACGGGCACATGTTACGTCGGTTTCAACTTACGACGCTTTTTTTTTTATTTAAAAAACCCCCAACTTACGTCAGGGTTTCATGATACGACAGCTTCTGAGGTTTTTCAGCTTCCTCCCACCAACCATTTTTTTGGTGCCATGCCTGCACCAAAGGTTTTCCTGCAGGAAGTGAGTTTTTTTTTGTGCCAAGGTTCATTCCTAGCCAGATTAAACTGTTAACAGTGTGAGATAGTGCCATATGCACAGGAAATAAATTGTCCTTAAGTTTGGAAATTGCTGTGTTTGGAGCATTTTTTTTTAAAACACACACGACATGTCAAGTAAAGTAATAACGACTTATTAACACAAATCCTCTTTAAAACTTAAAACACACAAGACATGACGGGACACCATTTAATTATAGCTGAATAATTTTGTTGAGGAGGAATTAAAAAGTTGAAATATAAAGGTAATTTTAGTTGAATATTTTTTTGTTTGGAACAAATTAATTTTTTTATAATGTAACCTTAAGGGAAATAGGGTTTCAACTTACAATGGCCCCATGTTACAATGTCCATCCTGGAACGGATTGATGACGTAAGATGGGGGCCCACTGTACAGCAAACATTTTTTTCTTCAGTATAACAAACTTGTTTTTTTCCTAGTCCCAGCAGAAATCCTGTATAGGCAGTGTTGCTGAAATTTTCAGCATAGTACATTTTTAAAAAGTAGGAATGAACTCTGTTATCATTATCTGAAATTTTATAAAGGACAATGGAAGTTGAAATAATTTGATGATGATGAATATAAAAGTTGGCTTTCCTACAAATAGCACTTATTCAGACACATTTTTACCAGCTGAAATGCATTTTTTTTATTTTCCATTCTGAGAAAACTTTCTGCAAGCCCCCCTTTCCAAGTTTTTGATGACATTCAGCTATAGCTGCTTAACTTTAGTGTGCACGAAGCAGGAACTTTAATATGCCTGCCATAAACTCAGTCAAGCAAACATTTTTAAAGTCTGTAAAAAATGCATGAAACTTTGTCAGTCTGCAGAAAATTTTTTGGTAATTTCCTGGTCTGCAAGAATTTTTATGGAAATGAGGTTGGGGAACATGCTATAAAATTCTTGTTACAACAAACTCTCAAATTTCAGTACTGTATGACAAAACTTTTTTGAGGGACCTGTTGTGATTTTCTTGATAAAAATCCAAATGAAGGCAGGCTCAGTCTCAAATTTCCCATTCAAAATGTAACTGTGACAAATTCTTGGGACACAAATGGAAGGTGGAATCAAGGATGAATATTCTCAAAAATTCACCTGGACATCCTCTCTTTAAAAATTTTGTTCTTTTGTTAGGAACAATAGGTGGGTTAGAGGAAAAAATGAACCCAAAAACTCAATGTTAAAAAGGGGGTTTTGGATGCTTGTAAAACCCTACTGATGTTTAAAAACTGTCAACTTTTTTTTAGAACATCCATTTTTCCAAATCAAGGCAGGCCTCCTGAAATGCCCTCCCCCTTGAGTCTGAAATCAGCACAATATATTTCTCAGTATATATTTCTTGCTCTACTACAGAATTGAGGTATAAATGAAAAAATAAAATGATTCTAGCATCATTTTAATTTTTATAATTTGTATTTTACTTTTCATATTTTATTCCTTGATAGTTCTGTCAATCTGCCTATCCAAATGAAATAAATTGGGATTATTGCCAAAAGGAGTGTACAGATTGAATGAATTGTGTGAAAGAGAACTGAATATATTTACTGAATGAATTTTTTTGTGTAGAAAGTGTTGACTCCACATGCCCTCTCTGGGATCCTTCTTTGCCTCATGTCTTCATAAAAATTTAATTGAGCTTCTCTTCTAATTTTTCAATAGAAGTAATTGGATTTGAGGCCCAGTACATTTTTACATAAACAATTTATTGATTTTGATGTAAACTTTTGAAGTCCTTGAACCAATAAAAATTATTCCTGTACATTCTTGAGGAGAAATGTGATTTGGTTAGCAAATTTTGTTCATCAGGTATGGATTACATTTGTAAACCAAGACCCCCCTATACCAAGTACTTTATCCAGTTTCATAGAAACTTTGAAAAGAATTGATTCAAGAAAAATTCCACTGGAGCAAATTTTGTTATAAAGAGCTATCATTATAAAAATTGTTGGCGGTCCAAAGAAGTTTCTTTATATAGAAACCACAATAAAAAATCTTTCTTCGACTAACATTACAGTTATTCAATTTAGTTTTGCTGTACAATTCCAATAATTAATTGAGTGAAATTCTGTTAAAGCAAATCTTATGTCCCAGAGCTAATTTTTCATGCATGAGCTACAATTTGTAAATCTTGTTTCAACAAACTTCAGTTACTTGATCTAGTTTCCCTGAAAAATTCATAGTTTTATGAAAGTCATAGTTTTATTACAAAAATAGTCAGAAAAAATTATGTTATACAATTTGAAAACAATGCAATCCACCAGGTTGAATCACATCCCAAAAGTGGATCCAATTAAAGGGACCAGGGGGGAAAAAATAACCAGGAAGTTGACTGAGTCCCTCACAACAGACCTTCATCTCAACCCAAGGATGAATCTGATTCAGCTCTGTGATGCCACAGAGCACANTCCCTCACAACAGACCTTCATCTCAACCCAAGGATGAATCTGATTCAGCTCTGTGATGCCACAGAGCACACCTGTGGCATCCACTTGCAGCAGCTGTTCCATTTAACCTCTCCAAAATCAAATTACATATATATATACATATTCCACAAATTTCCATCTCTTTCTCTCTCTGATTTTAAATCTGGGGTGAATGCTTGCCCATGAGCTGTATTGTCCCCAACTTGTTGCCCAGCGCATTGAACTCTTTTTCATCATGGTACCGTATTAGTCCACATTCCATGTCAAAAAAGGTGAGGTTTACCCAAAAGTTCCTGACATTTATTTATCAGGGTGAGTTTACTCAAAATAATTCCTCCTATTATGGATAGACTTCAAAAGGAGAATGGAGCCTGATGTGATTTTGCTCATAAAAAGCATGATACTGTATTTTCTTGAGTACCACGCTCCCTATCAAGTAAGGCGTGCACACAGGTTTTTCAGTTGGAAATTTGGCTAAAATCTTATTCCTGAGTAAGACCTGCACCCCAATTTTTGGTGAATCTAAAACCACAAAATGTAGAAAATAAAAATAAAAAATCAACTTTAGACATGAATTGAACAAAAATCTGATCAATTTTAAATTTTTTCAGTACAAAAGAGTTTTCTTGTTACATTTTTTCCAAATTTCTCCATTATAATTAAGTATAATGCACAAATTTCCTAGAACTTCTTGAAAAATTTGTACCTGCTTATGACGTGCACCCATTTTTTTCTTCTGAAATTTGAGAAAAAAGGTGTGCATGGTACTCAAGTAAATACGGTATTCATAATTATATTTTGAGGGAGGAAAAGAAAGGGCTTCATATTCAGTTCTTGGATGAAGCTTAGCATTTTCAAATTGCATGAACAACAGTTTGCATGTGTTTGAAATATGAATCCTTTATTTACAAGAAAGGACAGATCATATCAGTTGCAGATTTTCATGCACAAAAGAGAGAGAGAGCAAATTAATCAAACAGAACAACGTGATATTTTAGTATGTGCAAAGCCATGGTAGAATGTGTTGCATGAAACATATGACTCACAATATGTTAGACACCAGTTTATCTTTCTAGGCATAATATTTTTAGATATTCTTTAAAAATCTTGAACATGCTTCACACAATCAATATGAAACTTTTGCAGCACTGATTCCTGTGTGACGTAAGATGGGGGCCCACTGTACAGCAAACATTTTTTTCTTCAGTATAACAAACTTGTTTTTTTCCTAGTCCCAGCAGAAATCCTGTATAGGCAGTGTTGCTGAAATTTTCAGCATAGTACATTTATTGAAAGTAGGAATGAACTCTGTTATCATTATCTGAAACTTTAGAAAGACAATGGAAGTTGAAATCACTTGATGATGATGAATATAAAAGTTGGCTTTCCTACAAATAGCACTTATTCAGACACATTTTTACCAGATGAAATAAATTTTTTTATTTTTACATTCTGAGAAACCTTTCTGCAAGCCCCCCTTTCCAAGTTTTTGATGACATGCAGCTATAGCTGCTTAACTTTAGTGTGCAAGAAGCAGGAACTTTAATATGCCTGCCATAACTCAATCAAGCAAACCTTTTTAAAGTCTGTAAAAAATGCATGAAACTTTGTCAGTCTGCGGAATTTTTTTTGGGAATTTGCTGGTCTGCAAGAATTTTTATGGAAATGAGGTTGGGGAACATGCTATAAAATTCTTGTTGCAACAAACTCTCAAATTTCAGTACTTTATGACAACACTTTTTCGAGGGACATGTTGTCATTTTCCTAATAAAAATCCAAATGAAGGCATGCTAAGTCTCAAATTTCCCATTCAAAATGTAACTGTGACAAATTCTTGTGACACAAATGGAGGGTGGAATCAAGGATGAATATTCTTAAAAATTCACATGAAAATCCTCTCTTCAACAAGTTTGTTCTTTTGTTGGGAACAATAGGTGGGTTAGAGGGAAAAAAAGAACCCAAAAACTCAATGCTAAAAGGGGGTTTTGGATGCTTGTCAAACCCTACTGATGTTTAAAAACTGTAAACTTTTTTTTGGAACATCCATTTTTCCAAATCAAGGCAGGCTTCCCAAAATGCCCTCCCCATTGGGTCTGAAATCAGCACCATACATTTCTCAGTAGATATTTCTTGCTCTACTACAGAATTGAGGTACAAATTACAAAAATAAAATGATTCTAGCATGATTTTAACTTTTATAATTTGTATTTTACTTTTTCAATTTTATTCCTTGATAGTTCTCTCAATCTGCTTATCCAACTGAAGGAAATTGGGATCAGTGCCAAAAGGAGTGTACAGAAATGCAGATTGAATGAATTGTGTGAAAGAGAACTCAAAATATATACTGAATGAATTTTTTGTGTAGAATTTGGGATCCTTCTTTGCCTCATGTCTTCATCAAAATTTCATTGAGCTTCTCTTTTAATTAAAAAAAAGATAATTGGATTTGAGGCCCAGCATATTTTTACATGAACAATTTATTGATTTTGATGTAAACTTTTGAAGTCCTGGAACCAATTAAAATTATTTCTGTACATTCTTGAGGGGAAATGTGAACTGGTTAACAAATTTTTTCATCAGGTATGGATTAAGTTTGTATACCAAGACCCCCCTACCAAGTATAGGGGGTCAGTTTCAGTTTCATAGAAAATTTGAAAAAAATTGATTCAAGAAAAGTCCACTGGAGCAAATGTTGTTATAAAGAGCTATAATATCACTACAAAAATTTTTGGTGTTCCAGAGCAGTTTCTTTATTTAGAAACCACAATAAAAAATCTTTCTTCAACTAACATTACAGTTACTCAATTTAGTTTTGCTGTACAATTCCAATAAGTAATTGAGTGAAATTCCATTAAAGCAAATCTTATGTCTCAGAGCTAATTCTTCATGCATGATCCACAATTTGTAAATCTTGTTTCAACAAACTTCAGTTGCTTGATCTAGCTTCCCTGGAAAATTCATAGTTTTATGAAAGTCATAGTTTTATTACAAAAATAGTCAGAAAAAATTGTGTTATACAATTTGAAAACAATGCAATCCACCAGGTTGAATCACATCCCGTTTCACCTAGGTTAATTTCCCTGGTCCCCCCTTTTTTATTGGTCCTTCAACTGACTCAGGGAGTGTTGTCTGGAAGTAGAGTTGGGTTCCTACTTAGACTAAGTCGAGACACTACGGTGTCTCGTGTCCTGTGGCATCCACTTGCAGCAGCTGTTCCATTTAACCTCTCCAAAATCAAATTACATATATATATACATTAAGGTGTTTAAAGGTAGAGAAAGAGAGAGACTAAAATTTAGACCCCACTTACGAACGGGTACTCGACATAACAGGGGTTGAACAACGGGTCGCGTAACTTGAGAAAAAGTAGTACCATGGCATAATCACATTCCATGTCAAAAAAGGTGAGGTTTCCCCAAAAGTTCCTGACATTTATTTACCAGGTTGAGTTTACTCAAAATAATTCCTCCTATTATGGATAGACTTCAAAAGCAGAATGGAGCCTGATGGGACTTTGCTCATAAAATGCATTATACTGTATTTACACAAGTACCAGGCTCCCTCAAGTAAGGCATGCACAGGGATTTTTCAGTTGGAAATTTGGCTAAAATCTTATCCCCGAGTAAGACGTGCACCCCAATTTTTGGTGGATCTAAAACCACAAAATGTAGAAAAAAAATCAACTTTAGACATGAATTGAACAAAAATCTGATCAATTTTAAACTTTTTTGGTGCCAAAGAGTTTCCTTGTTACATTTTTTTTTTTACAAATTTCTTCATTATGATCAAGTATAATGCACACATAACTTCCTAAAACTCCTTGAAAAATTTGTACCTGCTTATGACGTGCACCCATTTTTTTCTTCTGAAATTTGAGAAACAAGGTGTGCGTGGTACTCAAGTAAATACGGTATTCATAATTATATTTTGAGGGAAGAAAAGAAAGGGCTGCATATTCAGTTCTTGGATGAAGCTTAGCATTTTCAAATTGCATGAACAATAGTTTGCATGTGTTTGAAATATGAATCCTTTATTTACAAGAAAGGACAGATCATTTCAGTTGCAGATTTTCATGCACAAAAGAGAGAGAGAGGAAATTAATCAAACAGAACAACCTGATATTGTAGTATGTGCAAAGCCATGGTAGAATGTGTTGCATGACTGTATACTGAGTGTTATACAATCTGTGGTCAAATAGAAAGATCCGTATTATAAAAATCTATAAGAAATTTTTAGAACTTGTACGAAGTGTGTTAGTTATACTTTGAAAACGTCGTGACTAAGGACACTTTACTTTGCTGGATGCCAGTGGCATCTTGCAATTTGACCCTAATCGTTTGCCAAACTAGGGTAAATTACAAAGCAGACAAAATTCCAAGACACTGTAAAAATTTCAAAAATATCAGTACAAAAATGCAAAAAAAAGTGGCTAAAGCAGGTTGAATTGCGGGGCAAGGGTCAAATTTAAAATCAACCTCCCTGCAATGATCCTTTGAAATAATAATCAATTTAAGTGATCTTGCCATGCATTAATCAATTCAAAATTCAAATAAGTCTCTGCTGAAAAAATTTTACTTTTTCCCCCGTCGCGCGGAAAAAAAAAATGAGCTCAGCTTCACCGGAAACTCTTCCGGTCGCGGTCGGCATCATCATCATCCCTCCCCACACCCAATAATTAAAAATACGAAAAGACCAAATAAAAATTCTGAAAACATCATTCGAAATATACAGAGAAAAAAAAAGAGAAATTTAACTGAATGGGACGGGATGATGTGGGGGGAAAAAACCGTAAACCGTGAAGGTGAGGTCGAGTGATCTAATCCGAACTAAGGCCATATGCTGGCGTCGACACCGGGTGACACCAACACGTACAAATTGGATATAAGGGAAAATACAAGTGTGTAGACAAATTTGTTTCGGCCGTGTTTGAGCAAAAGATGCATAACTCAAATTTGCAGGTCTTACAACCCAAACAATTTTTCGAGAGAGAGAGAGAGAGAGGAAGCAAACGAACGAACAACAAATGTCATCAAAATCAATATTACAGGCAATCTCAATCAATCTTTCAGGTTTCTGTATTGTTCATAACTGAAATTTGCAGGTCTTACATATCCCAAACAATTTTTTCGAGAGAGGAAAGAAAAACAAAAGTGGCATCAAAATCAATATTACAGGTCATAAGGCATTGAAAAAACAAATAAACCCTGACATTACGTGAATTAAAAGGTTACTGGAATTGAAATCGTTCAGATTTCTGTGTTGTTCATGACTCAAATTTGTAGGTCTTACAATCCAAAAAAAATTTCGAGAGAGGAAAAAAAAACGATCAAACGAAAGTGGCATCAAAATCAATATTGCAGGTCATAAGGCATCGAAAAAAATTGCCCTGACATTGCGTGAATCAAAAGGTCACTGAAATTGAAATCTTTCAGGTTTCTGTATTATTCATAACTCAAATTTGCAGGTCTTACATCCCAAACAATTTTTCGAGAGAGGAAAGAAAAAACAAAAGTGCTTCAAAATAAATATTACAGGTCATAAGGCATCGAAAAAAAATTTGACCCTGACATTGCGTGAGATAAAAGGTCACTGGAATTGAAATCTTTCAGGTTTCTATATTGCTCATAACTCAAATTTGTGAGTCTTACAATCCAAACAATTTTTCGAGAGAGGTTAAAAACAAAACAAACAAAAGTGCTTCAAAATCAATATTACAGGTCAAAGCATCAACAAAAATTCGACCCTGACATTGCGTGAAATAAAAGGTCACTGGAATTGAAATCATTCCGATTTCTGTGTTGTTCATAACTCAAATTTGCAGGTCTTACAAGCCAAACAATTTTTCGAGCGAGGAAAAAAATTGAACAAACAAAAGTGGCATCAAAATCAATATCACAGGTCAAGGCATCAAAAACTCTTCGACCCTGACATTGCGTGAATTAAAAGGTCGTTCAGGTTCCTGTGTTGTTGAGGACTTTTTAATGCATGTTTGGGAAATTAAGAACACAAGTGTTCCCAATTCTTTGGAGCTGCCATTTTTTTACCAAATAAAACGCATATATGCAGAAATTCACATTTGCTTGTCTTACAGCTTCAATAATTTTTCGAGAGAGGAAACAAACTAATGAACAAAAACTGGCATAAAAATCAATACAAATCACGGTACTGAAAAACTTGTAAACTAAAAATTTAAATTTTACCTATTTGCTTGTCTTACAGCTTCAATAATTTTTCGAGAGAGGAAACAAACTAATGAACAAAAACTGGCATAAAAATCAATACAAATCACGGTACTGAAAAACTTGTAAACTAAAAATTTAAATTTTACCAATTTTTAGAAACTGCAACGTTTAAGCAAAGATGCATAATTCAAATGTGCTCGTCTTGTTACAACTGAAACAATATTTTGGGACAGGAAACAAAATAATAACAAACTAATGAAAAATAATCAGTACATGTCATGGCATTGAAAAACTTTGACCCTGACATTACGCGAATTTAAAAGGGCATTGGAATCTAAAACATTCAGGTTTTGTGTTTTTGTAAAATGTGTAAACTAAACCATACAATGAATGCACAAAAGCAAATGATGGGATTTAGTTGCTGTCTTTGGTTTTTTTTTGTCAAATACTCTGAGATACCAGGAACAATGTTTATTTGCCATAGACATAAACTTGTTTAGATTTGGCAAACTAATTTTTTGCATCCATTCAATGCACAAAAACACATGATGAGATTAAATTTCAATTTTCTTGTCAAATACAATATGATACCAGGTGCAATGTTTATTTGCCATGAAAGAGAAACTTTTCTAGGTTTGGAAAACTAAATTTTATTTTTGGCTGTACAAGGCAGAGGTGGAAACATCATATTGAATGGAACAAAATAAAGAAAACAAACCTGTGACAGGGATTTTTGCAAAATCTTGAAACCGCTTGATGCCTTTCTCCAGCTCCTCTCCATCCATCAATGCACCTGCTTGAGGATTTGTGAGTGGACCTGGTGCCAAGTAACTAAGATGCATAATTCAAATGTGCTCGTCTTGTTACAACTGAAACAATATTTTGGGACAGGAAACAAAATAATAACAAACTAATGAAAAATAATCAGTACATGTCATGGCATTGAAAAACTTTGACCCTTACATTACGCGAATTTAAAAGGGCACTGGAATCTAAAACATTCACGTTTTGTGTTTTTGTAAAATGTGTAAACTAAACCATATAATGAATGCACAAAAGCAAATGATGGGATTTAGTTACTATCTTTGGTTTTTTTTTGTCAAATACTCTGAGATACCAGGAACAATGTTTATTTGCCATAGACATAAACTTGTTTATATTTGGCAAACTAATTTTTTGCATCCATTCAATGCACAAAAGCACGTGATGAGATAAAATTTAAATTTTCTTCTCAAATACAATATGATACCAGGTGCAATGTTTATTTGCCATGAAAGAGAAACTTTTCTAGGTTTGGAAAACTAAATTTTATTTTGGCTGTACCAGGCAGACGTGGAACCAGCATAATGAATGGAAAAAAAGAAAACAAACCTGTGACAGGGATTTTTGCAAAATCTTGAAACCGCTTGATGCCTTTCTCCAGCTCCTCTCCATCCATCAATGCACCTGCTTGAGGATTTGTGAGTGGACCTGGTGCCAAGTAACCAAATTTTGCCAAGTATACCTGGAAAATGTATGATTTGAATAGTAGACAATTTTTAGCATCAACTACAAAAACATAGTCAAGATGAACTTCTGAAAAGCGCATTTTTGGCAACAAATGCAAAAACATGGTCAAAAATGAACTCTTGCAAAAGAGAAAAGCAAATTTTAAAAAATCATTAAAAAAAACTGTGCATTGGAAAAAAAAGTGAATAAAAAACAGCATTTAAAGTCTTCTTGATCACTTTTCTCCTGCTGAGAATCATTTTAAATCCTCATTATGCAATAGATTAGTTCCCCTTCACCAACGTTGTTCCGCATGAAATGCTTCCTGTAACCATTTGGTAACCTTGGTAGCGCATATGGAACAGTATATGCAACACTACTATTTTGTGACACACAGACCTCATAAATTTCACATGGAAGTTATTCTTGCTTCGGAATGACATGCCAAGCAAGTGCACTCATGAGTCAATTTTCAATGCCCCAGCCACCTATATTAATCTTATTATTTCTGATAAGCAAGAAAGTTATTTTAATGCAGATAATTCATTATACAGTACTGCCAAAGCATTTCCTCAAAACCAATGTGATAGAATATATAAGTTTAACTCTCTATGTTGATCAAACTAAATCAAAGTTTTCAATTTAAAAGCTGTCTTTATAGGGACATTGTCAGTACTCTTTATACTCCATTCCACAAAAAGCAAAGTATTCTTTTAGACTATTAAGTCTAAACAATACACTAGGGCTTTTTCATCAGATTTTCTATAGACTTGACTGTTGAGTTAAAATCTAAGCTTTCTATAGCAAGATTTCAAAATCTATGCATGATCAGAAGATGTATTTTTTCTAAAAACCCTTACATGTTTGGGTAATTAATGTCCACAGCAAAATTCCATCATCTGGAAGAAGTAAAAATTTGATGCTCGGTGTAAAATGGGTCAACAATTTAATTTTACTGTCACTGGGGACGTTGGGAATAAATCCTGACAACTGAAAGATTTGAATTAAATAGAGAAGTTTGAAAAGATGTTGGATAAATTAAACACAGTGATTTGGTCAGGCTATGACCGGGGTGCAAAACACCCTATTCTAAAGTTGGTATAATTCAAAAACACAGCATAAATTTGCAAAATATCAGATTACGTTCTCACACGAAAGTTCAATTTGGACTGTAATAAAATAGTCAAATTTGGAAATCAGGAAAACTGTCCTTCAAGTACAAAAAACAGCAACAGGATCTTGGTAATAAAATCCAGCCTTGGAGGCTGCCAAACATCTGTGGGAACCAAGGTCTTCCAAGATTCCCACACTGATAGAATGAAAGACTAAATTTGCTGGGGAATTTGGGTTCTCTAAAGCTAGCGTATCAAATTTAATATAGTTGTTGAAATATTTGTGACAGGGGATTCAAGATGAGGCACCTGAATCTTACAGCTGTGCTTATTATCACAATATACAGTAAATTTAAGGGGGAAAATACTCCATTTTTCACAGAAAAATGTGACTCATGCCCAAAATAATATCCACTATGATTTATAGTGCATCTTGTAAAAGGAGAAGGGATGATAAGCAAGAACGGGAAAGTTACTGAACATTCTGGAACACAGTAGAGTCAAGGGTGATTTCATGATTAGATAATACACTTTGTGGAAATACTGTTACTTGGCTTACTAAGAGTCTTCTGCTGAAATCCACTTCAATAGGACTGGCTTTCTGATTTCAGGGAAACATGACAACATTAGTCATTTTGGTCTTCCTCACACAATCTCCTGATGATAAAATCATCAGAATTTACTAACACAGTTGGATCTTGCAAATTTGAACCTCTGAAAGCCCAAAACCTCTGTACATCTCATTTTGGCTTTTTCCTTTCCAAATCCCCCTATGAACTGTGTTGTCAAGATCTAGACAAAAATAAAGTATCCCTCAAACTTTCATGAATAAATTTTTCTGATGAGGCATTTTGATTATTATTTTGATGACCAAGGGAATTTGAGAGCATTGAAATTGTAATTTGATGTTTTCCAAGATGAAGTGAGTTGATTAAATGGGCAAATGTACCCTTGCTTTAAACATCAGCATTATATCAACTGATTTATCCCACAATTTTAGGCCAAAAATTTGAACAATTTCCTCTAACAAATATTGTCGCAACATTTTTTAAAAGCAGAGTGCCACTAACTCAGAAACTCTTCTAGTTGGATCTGTTTGGGCCACTCTGTGTTTTACTTAGAAAGATTTAAATGCACGTCACATTACTGTGAATTTTTATTAATCAGGTCAATAATTTTGTTGTTTTTGATAATCAAACCTCTCCATAAGTCAAATTTTGAGGGACCAGCAAAAGATTCAAGTTAGGAAAAGGAGCATTTTTTGTTGCAGGAACAACAGAATAATTACAATAAATTGTAATTGGTGATATTCTGCACCTTAAATTGCTTCTAACATGAGTTTACAGGATTCTGAACATGGAGGCAAAGGGTCATTTGCCCAATTTAGTCTTTCACTTCCTTTCAAAACACATCAGATAATGTTCTACGCTTTTTACTTCCCTGTGTCAAGAAAATAATTACCAAATTGCTCAGGAAATTTGAGTTATGGAGGTTTGGAAGGAAAAGCCTTTGTATTGAGGTTCTCAATGCATTGTTTCTAAGGGAATTCAGACAGGGACTTGAAGAATTGTTTGAGTTATCAAGGTTGAACTGTATCATGATTGATTGATCAATAAATATGCTTTATTCGCTGCTTGTCAGCATTCACAAGGTTTGAAAAATTACTCCACCTGCTCCCATAAGCATTTGCATCCCTTAAAAATAGGAATGAAAACTAAAAAAGAATAAATGTCCATCACAGTAGAGTACATAAAAATGCAGGAATTCTTTGATTAGGTCCTTTTTTGACAAAAATGCACAATGCTTAACAATTATAGTGCTGATCAAATTTTAAATGACAAAGGTATATTCAAGTTGTTACTACATAATTACCAACTGACAAACTGCTGTATAAATAAAATGCGAGAATTCTCATTTACCAGAGCTTGAGTGAAGTTGGTGTCTGCTTCCATTGTTTGTCCATTCACACCAAGTGTTATCATCAGGGTGGAGAGAAGAAATTTCACCATGACGCCAATCATTAACAAGACCACTTTCCGCCGTTCCATAGCGCGAATTTCTCGCATAATGATTCCTCTTGTACAGTGATGGCGAAATTTCACAGCAGCCAACAATAAGAAACTTCAGATTCACTTCTTTTCTTTCCTTTCTTCAGTTTTTTTGTTGTTGCGTGATTTACTGGCTGAAGGAGCGTTTCTTCTTTTCCCTTTTTGTCACCTGGTCGCTTCATCCAAAGGCGCCGACATCCCGAGTGTCATGGCCGACATCATTGATGAGCACTACTCACTCATCATCCTCAGGATGAAGTCACAAGGGCCTGGGGAATTCCAAATACAACGGAAATCGCATTACAACGAACGACCAAGAAAAGTTTTTCCCTTGCTGCTGAGATTTTCTCAACTTCTTACATTCTGTGGGAAGTGGATGCCTATACATGCAAACATCTGAGCTAATATCTTCTTTCTCATGAAAAATAAATAAATAAATTAACTGATATTCTAAAGCTAAAGAAAACTTCTCAACAGAAATAAATTTAATTATGTCCATGCCAACTTCACAGCCGTTCTTTTTTCCTTGAGAAAAATAAAAATGATATTTCAAAATCAAAAGAAAGTTTCTGAACCAAAAAAAGTTAATGCAACAGAGGTTATAAAGTTTCTGTTCTGGAAATAAAGTATTCTTACAGCAGAAGCAGTGCCAAATCTTATTGATGTGTTTACCAAAACTGCACTGAAATTTTCAACAGACTACCCTGTGAACTTCAGTTTCAGGAATATTGTTTGACATCAAATTCATCAGAAAACTCATTTTGTGCAGAATTTTCAGTCAGCAAGGCATAATTTTCCACCAAAAGAACCATTTGTCACTAAATTGTCCCTCCAGAAATTTTGATGTTTTCTTTAGGCAAAATCCTGCCTTTCCAAGAATGAATGAACAGAACACTTTATTTGCCGCTTTTCAGCATTTACAAGGCCTTTCCCAAGAAAACACGGTTCAACTGAGACCAGTAACATTTACTGCCAAAATATTGGCTCAAAACTTGTAAAATCCCCAACATCCAGACATCAGGCAAAAACTTGTTTTTAACACCTGCTGTTTTCAAACTTCAAACCCAACACATGGGTGTCTCTCATGTAACCCAGCAAAAATTGCTCATTGAAAAACCCCCAGCATTTTTGGGAAAATCAGTTCAGTTGAAGTTGAGGATTTGAACATTTGGTGCATTACAAAATTTTTTAAAACTTGGGAAGACTGTTTTGAATTCATGAATTTTCAGTATATTGAGTTTGTGAAAAACTTTGTGTGCGTAAACCTGTACAAATTTCTTTAAAAAAAGACTTGCGCTATTTTGGGAGAGAATCCCTGGTTGGTTTGCAAGCTGGCCAATTGCCGTGTTTCAATTCATAATCAGTTTTACCTTCAAAACTTTCTTGTGTTGATAAGCCTCTCTTAATTATAATCACAATCAAGGTGCATGGCTTGAAAATCTCAACTATAAATTCAAACTGTACACATTTCCCAAATTAAGTCAGTGTTCCCCATACCAATGGTCTGCAGAAGTTTTCTGCCATTCTGCAGGAAATTTTCAGCATAAAACATTTATTATTAGCAGCAACAAAGTCTCTTATCTTTATCTAAAATTTTGGAGAGGCAATTGCAGTTGAAATAATCTGATGAAAAATTTAAGTAGGATTTTCTCCGAATAGATTTTGACAAAGTTGCACCTGCTGAAATGAGTCATTCCAATTTTTCATTCTGAAAAATTCTTTCTTTTCAAGCCCACTTTCCAATTTTTTTGACAACATTCATCTACAGCTGCTTCATTGGCGCTCAACTTAATTTTTGCAAAGAGCAGAAACTTTTAAATACCTGCCATTAAGTCTTTCAAGCAAAACTTCTTTGAGTCAGCAAAAATTTCAAGAAACTCAGCTGGTCCAGAGAAAAATTTTTTGGAAATTTGCTGGTCCCTGGGCAAAAAAAAAAGGTATTGGAACACTGAATTAACTGATGAAACAACATTTTATTTTTTTTTCAAGCTGATATTGAATTTTAGGTACAAGTTACGCCTGATTAGAGCACTTGGCCTTGGGGTAAGTTGATCAAATATTTTTTCAGGCAGTCACTGACCAAAGCCTGTTTGAAGTATATCATTGCTGCTGGTGGTCGCTGAGTCAGCATGACCGAATGGCNCTCAGGAAATTTGAGTTATGGAGGTTTGGAAGGAAAAGCCTTTGTATTGAGGTTCTCAATGCATTGTTTCTAAGGGAATTCAGACAGGGACTTGAAGAATTGTTTGAGTTATCAAGGTTGAACTGTATCATGATTGATTGATCAATAAATATGCATTATTTGCTGCTTGTCAGCATTCACAAGGTTTGAAAAATTACTCCACCTGCTCCCATAAGCATTCGCATCCCTTAAAAATAGGAATGAAAACTAAAAAAGAATAAATGTCCATCACAGTAGAGTACATAAAAATGCAGGAATTCTTTGATTAGGTCCTTTTTTGACAAAAATGCACAATGCTTGACAATTATAGTGCTGATCAAAATTCAAATCACAAAGGTATATTCAGACTGTTCTTACATATATACCAACTGAAAAACTGCTGTATGAATAAAATGCGAGAATTCTCATTTACCAGAGCTTGAGTGAAGTTGGTGTCTGCTTCCATTGTTTGTCCATTCACACCAAGTGTTACCATCAGGGTGGAGAGAAGAAATTTCACCATGACGCCAATCATTAACAAGACCACTTTCCGCCGTTCCATAGCGCGAATTTCTCGCATAATGATTCCTCTTGTACAGTGATGGCGAAATTTCACAGCAGCCAACAATAAGAAACTTCAGATTCACTTCTTTTCTTTCCTTTCTTCAGTTTTTTTTGTTGTTGCGTGATTTACTGGCTGAAGGAGCGTTTCTTCTTTTTCCTTTTTGTCACCTGGTCGCTTCATCCAAAGGCGCCGACATCCCGAGTGTCATGGCCGACATCATTGATGAGCACTACTCACTCATCATCCTCAGGATGAAGTCACAAGGGCCTGGGGAATTCCAAATACAACGGAAATTGCATTACAACGAACGACCAAGAAAAAGTTTTTCCCTTGCTGCTGAGATTTTCTTGAGAACTTGTGACATGTTCTTTGTTGCCTAAACATGCGAACATCAGAGCTAAGATCTTCTTTCTCATGAAAAATAAATAAATAAAATAAACTGATATTCTAAAGCTAAAGAAAACTTCTCAACAGAAATAAATTTAATTATGTCTATGCCAACTTCACAGCCATTCTGTTTTCCTTGAGAAAAATAAAAATGTTAGTTCAAAAGCAAAAGAAAGTGTCTGAACTGAAGAAAAAGTTAATGCAACAGAGGTTATGAAGTTTCTGTTTTCTGGAAATAAAGTATTCTTACAGCAGAAGCAGTGCCAAATCTTATTGATGTGTTTACCAAAACTGCACTGAAATTTTCAACAGACTACCCTGTGAAATTCAGTTTAAGGAATATTGTTTGACATCAAATTCATCAGAAAACTAATTTTGTGCAGAATTTTCAGTCAGCAAGGCATACTTTTCCACCAAAAGAACCATTTGTCAATAAATTGTCCCTCCAGAAATTTTGATGTTTTCTTTAGGCAAAATCCTGCCTTTCCAAGAATGAATGAACAGAACACTTTATTTGCCGCTTTTCAGCATTCACAAGGCCTTTCCCAAGAAAACACGGTTCAACTGAGACCAGTAAAATTTACTGCCAAAATATTGGCTCAAAACTTGTAAAATCCCCAACATCCAGACATCAGGCAAAAACTTGTTTTCAACACCTGCTGTTTTCAAACTTCAAACCCAACACCTGTGTGTCTCTCATGTAACCCTGCGAAAATTGCTCATTAAAGAACCCCAGCATTTTTGGGAAAATCAGTTCAGTTGAAGTTGAGCAATCAAAGCATTACAAAATTTTGAAAAACTTGGGAAGACTGTTTTGAATTCATGAATTTTCAGTATATTGAGTTGGTGAAAAACTTTGTGTGTGTAAATCTGTACAAATTTCTTTAAAAAAAGACATGCGCTATTTGGGGAGAGAATCCCTGGTTGGTTTGCAAGCTGGCCAATTGCCGTGTTTCAATTCATAATCAGTTTTACATTCAAGACTTTCTTGTGTTGATAAGCCTCTCTTAATTAGAATCATAATCAAGGTTCATGGCTTGAAAATCTCAACTATAAATTCAAACTGTACACATTTCCCAAATTAAGTCAGTGTTCCCCAACCAATGGTCTGCAGAAGTTTTCTGCCATTCTGTAGGAAATTTTCAGCATAATACATTTATTATCAGCAGCAACAAAGTCTCTTATCTTTATCTAAAATTTTGGAGAGGCAATTGCAGTTGAAATAATCTGATGAAAAATGTAAGTAGAATTTTCTCCAAATAGATTTTGACAAGTTGGACCTGCTGAAATGAGTCATTTCAATTTTTCATTCTGAAAAATGCTTTATTTTCAAGCCCACTTTCCAATTTTTTTTACAACATTCAGCTACAGCTGCTTCATTGGTGCTCAACTTAATTTTTGCAAAGAGCAGAAACCTTTAAATACCTTCCATCAAGTCTTTCAAGCAAAACTTCTTTGAGTCAGCAAAAATTTCAAGAAACTCTGCAGGTCCACAGAAAAATATTTTTGGAAATTTGCTGGTCCCTGGACCAAAAAAGGTATTGGAACACTGATGAATTAACTGATGAAACAACATTTTATTTTTTTTCAAGCTGATATTGAATTTTAGGTACAAGTGACGCCTGATTAGAGCACTTGGCCTTGGGGTAAGTTGATCAAATATTTTTTCAGGCAGTCACTGACCAAAGCCTGTTTGAAGTATATCATTGCTGCTGGTGGTCGCTGAGTCAGCATGACCGAATGGCACGGAACAACATTCCACGGAAAATCAGCCACCATGAATGCAATGCAACAAAAGCCAAGAATGAAAGGAAAATAAAAAATGAAATCGCGGTTTTAGGTAGAATTGTCGTGCGAAAACGTTGAAAATGACTGGTTTCAAAAACC